CTGTTCTCCACCTTTGTTAATTTGTAAAAATCCATTATTCCCTTAGTTACATGTTAGCCTCCTCCACTAATTTACAAGCTCCCTGAGAACAGCTCTACATTGAATTTTGTCACTATGCCTTAGCCAGGCATTCTTCAATCTACAAGGAAAACAAGAAATGAAAAACACTGAAACATACTAAGAGAATACAATCAGAAGTATGACTTTCTGAAAGAGTGATTCCTAAAAGACACAAAAACAATAGCCACTACTCTAGCTTCAAAGAGAATAAAAAAGCAATTACAATATATGAACCTCGAATAGAGATAAGAACTAAAAACAACCAAAACCATGCTTTTACTTTTTTACCCAGCCTATATATGAATAACATTTTTAAAAATTTTCTAAGAGACGCATTACCAAGGACTTAGAGCTCAATATGCCTGCAATTTTCAAATACTTCTTTTCAAATAGGCCAGTCAAAAAGGTTCATTTTTCTGGAGAGAAAAATGATAAACTGAAATATTAAATGCAATCAAGTCTCCATCCTGTCTTCCACAGGCCACTGTGGCGAAGCTCTGCGGGAGGCACAACCCGGCAGTCAGATGAATGGCTGAGTGTGCTTGTTTCGTGGACTGGCTCGCGATCTACCCACGTTTACGGTTGCAGACGAAAACACGCACTCCCTGGACACCTACCAACGCGGCTTTCTCTCTAATTGTAACGTGTCAGAAATGGATACAGGGCGCTCGAAGCCAAAGCCGCCGGCAAGCACCCCCGCAGCTTACTCCACGCAGGCACGCGGGTCGCCAGGTCGGGACGCGGGGACGCGGGGACGCAGCCACCGAGACCCGAACTGCCGGACCTTCTTTCCTCCCCGGGAATAAGCCACAGAGCCTATCTCGGGGGCTTCTGAAGAAGCAATCGCCGTATCTGCAAAAACCCCGAGGAAGCGCGTTTACCAGCAGTAGCGACGTGGCTCCTGACAGCCCGAGCGGCCTCGCAGACCCGGTAGCCMGGGAGGAGGCGCGGGCCCGGCGGACGCGGGCGGGGCAAGCCAGGTGTCTCCCGAGAGGCTCCTCGGCGTCCCGGGTCAAACGCCTACTTTCACTGCCCCCTTCCAGCGCCGGTCGGCCCCGCACCCAGCCCTGAAGGCGTAGGAAGCCCCAGGGCCACTAAGGTGAAAAGGAACCCAGCTACCAGGAGTCAGCACCGGAAAAGACGGAAGCGAACCATGACGTCACTTCCGCCTGCGACTTGCAGCCGGAGGAGACTGACTGCGGGGTTCGGGCATCAGACACTCTGAACCCCTAATGGCAGAGAAATGGTAGTTCCTCGCGCGAGGGTGCGGCAGAGCCTGAGATCCACTCAGAGCGGGGGCAGGAGGCAGAACCAAGCGCGGAGGTGAGGTGACTACTAGGCCCGGGGGCAGGGTCTTCGGGGGCGGGGCGGGGGCGGGTCTAGGCCTGGATGCTGACTCCGCCCACAGCCACAGAGTCCAGAGTTGATTCTTCATATTGATGAACCTGACAATGCAAGGTAGTACCAAAACAAACTGTTGTTCTGGCATAAAATCAGACACGCAGAACAATAAAACAGAATAGAAAGCACAGAAATAAACCCATGTATATTCAGTCAAGTGATTTTCAACAAAAGTACCAAGAATACACAACAGGAGAAAGAGTCTCATATAAATGATACTATGAAAACTAAACATACACATGCAAGAGAATGCAATTGGACCGTTATCTCACACCATACACGAAAATCCATCCCAAATGGATTAAAGAATTAAACCTCAGGCCAGGCAATCAGAAAACTCCTAGAAGTAAACACAAGAAAAGCTTCCTGACATTTACCTTGGCAATGATTTTTTGGAGTTCACACCCAAACCACAAGCAACAAAATAAGTAAGTAAGGCTATATCAAACTAAAAGAATTTCGAAAAGCACAGTAAACTATCAAACAAATAAAAAAGTAAAGAATGGGAGAAATTATTTGTAAACCATAAATCTGATAATGGGTTAATAGCCAAAAATAAATAAATAAGGAACTCATACAACTGAGGAGGGGGAAAAAACCCAAATAGCCCAATTTAAAAATAGGTAAAGGAAGTGCTGGGGTGGGGGTGACACCGTGGTAGAGTACTTTTCTAGTATGTGCAAGGCCCTGGGATTGATCTTCAGCACTAGAAAAAAAAAATGGCAAACAGTGCAGAGTATTTGCCTAGCATGCACAAGGCCGTGGATTTGATCCCCAGCACCTATAAGTAAGTAAATGAATGAATGAATAAATAATAAATTCAAAGGACCAGGGCTGGGGATGTGGCTCAAGCGGTAGCGCACTCGCCTGGCATGCGTGCAGCCCAGGTTCGATCCTCCAGCACCACATACAAACAAAGATGTTGTGTCTGCCAATAACTAATAAATAAATAAATAAATATTTAAAAAAAAAAAAGAACGACATAGAGGAGGAAAGGTTTATTTAAAAAAAAATTCAAAGGACCAGAYTAGCTATTCTTCCAAAGAATTCATATAAATAGCTAATGGGCATATATGAAATAATGGTGTACATCAGGGATCACCAGGGATATGCAAATGAAAACCATAATGAGATGTAACCCCATGCATGATAGGATAACTATTATTAAAAAAATCAACACATGACAAATGTTGGTAAGATGGTAAAGGAAACAGAACCCTGTATGATGCTGGTAGTAATACAAATTAGTAGTCCTATGGGAAAAAGTGTATAAGTTTTTTACAATATTAAAGAGTATATTGCCTCACATGCAAGAAGTCTGGGTTCGATCCCCAGCACCACCAAAAAAAAAAATAGTATAACTATAATGTTATCCAGCAAACTCACTTTGGGGTATGCAATCAAGAAAATAAAGTCACTATGTGAGACATCTCCATGTTTGAGTTCATGACAACAATGCTGTGGGGAGGGGGAGAGAGGGAGTCTCATTGTGTTGTCTAAACTAGCCTCAAGCAATCTTCCTGACTCCTCCTCCTGTGTAACTGGGTTTACAGGAACACAACTGGGAAACAGAAGATATCCCAAAATTYACAGTCCAATGACCTCTACCTTCAGATTCAAGGTCATCTTCTTGATTACACTTSAACACATACTCAATGACAAATGTTTCCCACAGACACCTTAGAAAATGCCTTCTTCTATTGCCATTAATTTAATTTCTTCATCCAACCAAGAGATCAGGCTGGGTTTGAATGGATGACATTCTGTACACAGAAAAAGGTACATTAATGGAAGAGGCTCATGTAAGAGATCTTCCTGTGATTAAAAAAAACTACATTTCTGATCARGTATGCTGCATAACATATTTCTATTCCTTTGTAGCTCTAAGAAATGATTCTAGTCTTACTGAGGCCAGGTACTTATAGTTCTCCAGCATCACATCTTTGTATAGGTTTCTCTGAGTTGAATCAATTAAAGACCACCCCTGCTGGGTGAACTCTATAGCCACATCCTCAAAGGTAACCAATTCTTAGACCATCACACATATGCTAATTGAGCACAGTGATATGTCCACCAATGTTCACTRTTAAGAAGTGACACCAATGCCTATAAAGGATTCTAAGGTCTTCCATATTCTACCATATTCAGTGGTCGTAGGACATCTCTGAAAACAATTACTCACTGAGGATCTCCTCCATCATAGGGCTTTTTAGCATCTTTTATAGGTGAACTTATCTCTCCATAACTAGACAGGGAGCTCTTTTTGTGCTATTTCTCTATATTACAACACACTCGTGAGCATGTTACAAAGACYTGATAAATAGCAATATATGAATAAATTATTTGAGAAAGGATACTTTCATTTTCTTTACAATCTATCAGAACACCCAGAGAAATAAATATCTAATCAGCACCCTGAAAGTTAAGATTAGTATGATTATTAAAATACTGAAATAATTTTCAGGTAACCCCTCACCAATCTAAGAGGCATGGCTATCTGAGAAATTCAGTGAGGGACTAAGTCTTGACAAAGTTATTTTTTGCTCTAAGGAGCTCTGAAAACAGGTCTGTCTATAAGGAAATATGCCTCCCTGGTCAATCCAATTGTGCCATTTTATGGAATCCATGGCATCAAGAAAAACAAATGCTTTCCATGGTATTTTGTTTGTTTGTTTGTTTGTTTTGGTTCTGGGGATTGAACCCAGGTGCACTAACCACTGAACCATATCCCTAGACCTTTTTTGAGACACAGTCTGAGTTGCTTATGGCCTTCCTAAATTGCTAAGGCTGGCATTTATCCTCTTGCCTCAGCTTCCAAAGTTGCTGGAATTACAGGCATGCACCACCACATCTGGCCCATGTTTTTTACATAATATGGATTCAGGGTTGCATGCTTACATTCCAGATTATGAGAAGATTCCAATGGCTCTCCCATGTTCCTTAGATTATGAAGCATCTTTAGACTAAGTTGTTTCATGTCCTTGAAGTACAGGGGAACATCTAACGCTTTTACACATTGCTTATACTTACAATGTTCGTCATCACTGTGGGTTTAAATGTATTACTTCCTACAGGAGTTTCTTCATTCTTTACATCCAGTGGGGATCCTTTTGTGTGTTTTGGTATTTTCAGTAAGATAAAAAGAACAAATAATGGCTTTYTCACATTCCTTACATCCCATGTGCCTGTGAAGATAGGAGGAACACAAATACTTTTCTACAAAGCCTGAGCTCACAGTGAAGGCCTTCCCACATTTCTTACATTCATGGTTCCTCTTTGATGTGAATTCACATGAGAATGTGAAGCCAGTAGGAACATGTAAATGTTTCCCCACACATGTACATACAAAAGGTTTCTCTCCAGTATGAGTCCTCAAATATAAAGTAAGATAGGGAGAAGCAGCAAAGGCCTTCCTGGTGATATCCAAATGTTTCTCATCTGGTCATTAAGGCACAATGCTGTAATAGTCATTCACAGGTTCTTTCCATTTATAGGGCTCCTATGTGAATCCTTACATGTTTACTTAGTGACAAAAATACTGAAGGCTTTCCCACATTCCTTACATTCATAAGGTTTCTCCTCTGTGTGATTTCATAGCCCTATAACCCAGTAAAACTTGCCAAAGGTCCTGCATTTAGAGGGACTTATTCCTTATATATTCATATGACTGTGAAGGTGGGAGGAATGCATGAGTGTTTCCCAACACACTGGACACTCAAATGGCTTCTCCTCTGTGAGCTCACGCACACAAATAGTTAAGTTTTGCTGTGCTTAGCAAAACAAGGAGTTCTGTGAGAAAGTATGAACTCTTTGAACTGTGTCCTTGTTGCTGTCTTAAGAAGATAGGAGAAAAGAATGTTCTGCCAAGTGTAAAATTTATATGTGTGTGTGTGTGTGTGTGTGTGTGTGTGTGTGTGTGTGNTTCTGTGAGAAAGTATGAACTCTTTGAACTGTGTCCTTGTTGCTGTCTTAAGAAGATAGGAGAAAAGAATGTTCTGCCAAGTGTAAAATTTATATATGTGTGTGTGTGTGTGTGTGTGTGTGTGTGTGTGTGTTTGCCTGGGAATAACGAACCACAAGTTAATTGATAAAAAATACGGATCACTGTGACCATAAACAAAGTTTTCCTGAGAATGTTTATCCATGCTTGTAAGGATTAAGCTGACGAAAGGATGTTTTTTCTTTCTCCTTGTTTTTATTAACAATGCTGTATAAAAGGAGAGAAAAAAGTAAAGACGGTGCTCGTTTTCTATTGAATGTGTGTGTGTGTGTGTGTGTGCATGTGTCTTTCTTAAGCATCTCTGCTGTACCAGGAATTACAGATTGTCAACGGGTCTGATACTCTTCAGTGTGGGATTGCATATGAATATTAAGGTGGACAAAATATCTAAAACATTTTCTAATTCCCCACATTTGCAGGATAGTTTTACAACCTGGGTTTGAACATGCACCATACAGCTTGTGGAATGAGTAAAAGTTTTCCTACAGTACTTCCATCTGAATTCTTTTTCTCTTGTTGAGTTCTCCTGTGGGCCTGAAGGTGTGACTGATTGACAAAGGCTTTCCCATAGACATGGTACTCAAAGGATTTGTCTTGGGTGCACATTTTCTGGTAGGCAACATTTGGAGCCTGACTGAAATCTTTTCCATACTGAATATACTCAGAACTGTTCCCTATCCTTTGAACATTTATTTGTAGTGAGAAGTATGAGTGTCACTAAAGACTTTCCAAACTGATTGCCAAGTTCCCAACATGTGACAACTTCCCTGATAATAAAGAGATGAATATCAATTAAAGGATTTTTCAGACTGATGAATAAATTCTACCCATTTCAGGAGAGAAACATGATGGCAATAATGATGATTTTTCCCATTTTCATAACATGCACAAAGTCCTTACCCTTTGAATTTCTTTCAATGTGAACTCATAAGTCCTAAGAAGAATTCTGTGACATCTGCTGTAATTTTGAAAAGATTCCCATAGCTTTTCATGAAATAGTTTTTAAAACTCAGTGTTCTATGATAAAGATGGCAATGTGACCTGGTAGAAACACTGGTTTGGGGGATCTCTCCAGAAACACTATTCTCTGATTGAGAAAGATATTCCTCTCAAATTTCTCTCATTTATGCTGATTTATATCATGGAATTCCCAGTCTTCTCTAAAGGAGGAAAATAAGAAGTATCTGTTGTCAATTTTACCATTTGCAACCCTCTTGATATTTTTAACCCAAAAAAAAGTCCTATTTGTTGTCCCTTTAGTGTTAAGGCACATTTCTCATGGTGAAATTAAACAGAGAAATATGTGAGAATTTATTCATCAAAATGGTAGGTTAAAGAAGTTAAAAGGTGTTAATTTTTTTTAGTTATTTATATGTTCTGGAAATTAAAACATGCCAGACAATAAAGGAGCAAAAGATCTAAACAGACATTTTTTGAAAAAAGAAATATAAATGGACAACAAATATATGAAAAAAAATGTTCAACATCCTTAACAGTCAGGGAAATACAAATCAAAACTGTACTGAGATTCCATTTCACTCCAGTTGGAATGGCAATATTCAATAATACAAATAATTTCTAGCAAGAATGTGAAAGGAAAGGTATACTCATGTACAGAAACATCAACAATGAGTAGTTAGATATATCCTGAAACTTCCAGTCCAATGGCCTCACCCTTCAGATGCAAATGGCATTTAAAACAGTTCCCTCAGTTTTCTTCCAAGCATACTGAATAACTCAAAGACAAGAAATATTTTCCAAAAACACCTTGGAAAATGTATYCTTCCACTATATTCAACTCTTCTTCCTTTAACCAAGAGATCAAGCTGGGTTTGATGAGATGACATCCTGTACATGAGGAAAGGTGCATTCGTGGAAAAGGCTCCTGTAAGAGATGGTGACTCTTTCCATGGCTCAGGAACTTTAGTGATAATGAAAGCAGTTAGTTATAACAAAAGCAGCAGCAGCTCTGGAAAGTCTAAGTAGAGAGAAATGTGTCCACCTGTGATGCAAGAGTATAACTTCATACAAGCATGCATGTTCCCCATACCTGATAATCATTTGGCAGACAGCCATCTTCCTTTCTGCCTCTGTCTTTGCTTTAGGAAAGCAGATTGGATCTCTAGGAAGTAAACCTCCTGGAAAAGCAAAAGGCCTGAGAACCCAAAGCTGACCATAATTCTGCAATCATATGCCTGGAAGTCATTCCATCCTAGTTTGAAATTCCCATATAATCCAGCACACTTAGGAAAACCCCAAAACATACATTATGTCATATGATGCCAGAGCAGACTGCCTCACCTAGAGCCAGAAAAAGGCATGGTGAGCTGTGCTTCCATCAGGGAAAGTATAATAGCATTTTACAGGTAAAGAACCATAAGTCCTGAGAGACATGACTTTTTTTCACACTGTGATAGAACTCATGACTAAAATTATGCAGCATTTAAAGCCCAAATACATATACCAGAGGCTGACTTACCAAACAAACCTGTATGGTCCACTCCAGCATCTCTGAAATGAATAAGCAACATGACTATTCAGACCATTTAAATCTATCCTGGGCAATGGGACTCTCAAGCAAATTCTCTGAAAAGAGCATCAGCAGAACTTGCCATGTGACAAACCCATGGCCTCCATCCTGTAAGATTGATGATGAAATATGCCTGAACACCCCCTTTTGTAATTACAGGGACATGTCAGGGTCGTGGGAATCTAAGTAGATAGTGGCAATTTCAGTTTCTCTGACTATAGGATTATTTGGATTCCTATAGTTATTGATCATTAATCAACAAAATAGTAATAATTTGTAAAAATCATACATTAGCTCTGTGTTGGTAATAAAAGATGAAGCCACTAAAAACAGTATACTGTACAACATGCATATTAATAACAACAGCTACTATTTAATGAGCATTTCTATGTGTTGAAAGTTAACACTAGAGATAAACACACACACACACACACACAATAATCCTAACAAAACTCCACAGCAGATACCATTATCGTGAATGCTGAAAAAATTAATTAGGCTTGGGAAACAGAAGTGATTGTTCCAATATCATCTAGTTATTATGAAGACTAAAAGACTAAGTTGTGAAAAATAATAATAGCTAGGTGTGGTGGTACAAGCCGGTAATCCCAGTGGCTCAGGAGGCTGAGGCAGGAAGATTGCCAGTTCAAAGCCAGCCTTTGCAACTTACTGAGGCCCTAAGCAACTCATCAAGACTCTGTCTTTAAATAAAATGCAAAAAAATAAAAGGGGGCTGGGGGTGTGGGTCAGTGGTTAAGTGTCCCTGAGTTCAATCCTCAGTACCAAAATTAATTAATAATTAAAAATAAAAATAATAGCAGCTAAAAGTTCTCAAGGGATATACAAATAAAAAATTGTAACCAGCTAGGCACACATCTGTAGTTAGCTACTCTGGAGGTTAAGACAAGAGGATCACAAATTCAAGGCCAGCCTGGGCAACTTAGCAAGAAAAMCTTCTCTCAAAATAAAAAGAACCAGATGTAGCTCAGTGGTAAAGCTCTTCCCTAGCATGTGTGAGGTCCTGGGTTCAATAAAATTCAGTAACAACAGTTATTGAATAAAATAGCAAAATAAAATAAAAAATAAGATAAACATTCTGCTAGCCTAAGATTAAAACAGAAGACTCAAATAAAATAAACAATGAGAGACGTTACTACTGGCAAATTGTAGAGATGAAGCAACTAACCATGGAACTTCAAATGACCAAGGAAGTGAGCTCCCATCATGAACTGCATTTTGTCTGCCCCACCAAGCCTTTAATTTGGGCATATGTAATAGCACTCTATCATGAAATGGAAATTGCATAGTCATCACTGATCTCAACTGCTTCTGTGAGTACAAGTATATTGTATGAGCAGTTGGTAAAGACTTGGTCAACACATTCCATTTGCCCTACTTTTCTCCATCAATTGATGCCTGTGGCTTTCTGGGGTATTCCTGATRCCCAGAGGACCAACACAAAGCCAAATTCCCAGATGAGTCTGCACTAAAGCACTATTGAACAATGACCCTATACTAATGGMAAATCTTCCCAGCAGCAGGGAACCAAGCAGTATATTTGTCCTCTGATACTGGCATTGAGATGGCCAGAAGCACACATACATATTGATTCATGAATACCTGCTGTGTTAGGTAGGGTTCTCTAGAGAAACTTAACTGATTTTTTTGTATGATAAAACTGATAAGGGAATTGGCTCACCAAAGAGGTTGAAAAAAATTCTACAATGACCATCTGCATGTTGCAAAGCCAAAAAAGACCACAGTGAAGACTCAGTCCAGATGCCAGAGTACTCAGAGCCTAGAAGACAGATGATACAGCCTCCAGTCCAAGTCAAAAGGCCCGAGAGCCACTGATGGCAAAAGTGGAAGCAATTGGAATCTAAGTTCAAGGGCAACAGCAGGAGAAAATGCACTCTGCTCAGAGAGGAAGAACTGGAGAAAAGGGGTGAGGGTGAGAGGGAAAGAGAGAGGTAGGGGYGGAGAGAGATGGGRGGAGACTATGTCTTCTCTTCCTCCAATTTTGTGTTCATCAGGACCCCCAGTCTACGGAT